TGCCGCGCTGAGCACGTCCCCTCCGCGCACGTTCACCCCCCTCCATCATCACGTCTGTTCTCTCTCTCTCTCCTTCTTTCCCTCTCTCTTTCCTCCTCTGCGCGCACGTCTTCCCCATGCAGACCAACCCCCCCTGACACACTTCTTCTCTCTCCTCCCTTCTCTCTTCCTTCTTCTCCTTTCTTCTTCTTTCTTTTCCTTGTTCTTCGCCGGCGTCTGGTTCTGCTTCGCCCCGCTCCTGCTCGCCCAGCCGACCGCCGCCCGAGCCCGCCTGACCGCCGAGCGCCGCCGCCGTCTTCCTCGCGCGTCGCGCCGCCGTGTCGCCCGATAGCCCCGCCCCGACGCCGCCTCCCTTCCTTCCCAAGCGCGCGAGCTCGGCTCGCCGCCACTGCCTGTCTCGGCCCGGCGCTGCCCAGCCGGCCGCCTTGCTCCGCTCTGCTGTCCAGCTCGCCGCCGCGGGAGCTCAGCCCGTCGCCTTCGCCGCTCGTTTGTTCGTGCACCTGGGAGCTCGCCGATCTGAGCTCGACCGTCCCGTGCCGTCCACCGCCGCTGCTGCGAGTCGTCGCCACGTCGCCCAGCCGTCCCCGTCGTTGCTGCTCGCCGGCCGGCTCCTCCATCGCCAGCTCGCCCGGCCAGCTCACCGCCGGTCCGCCATCTCTCCCCCTCAGCCCCGATCCCTCTCTCCCTCACCCTCACCCTCACCCCCCCGGCTCACTCTCTTTCTCCCCTGTTCAGCTCGTCGCCGCCGGTCGCCGCCCCGGCCAGCCAGCCAGCCCCGACCAGCCAGCCCAGGCCGTAGCCGGCTCGTCGCCCACGCGACCAAGCCGCGCGCCCGTCGCCGTGCCGTTCCCGCGCCCGTGCCCGTGCGTGTGCCCGTGGCCGAGCCTTGAGCCCGTGGCCGAGGGCTGTGCCCATGGCCGAGCGCCGTGGCCGAGCTCGCCCGGCGCGGTGCCCGTCCGACCAGGCGCGTCGCCCGTCCGACTAGGCGCGTCGCCCGTCCGTTCGCCCGTGCGCCCCTTGGCACGCCGCACGGCCATCGCGCCCGCGCACCAGGCACGCCGATCGGCCATTGTGCCCGCATTGGCCGGCCACCGCGCCTGTTGGCCCACGCCCGCGCCCAGTCCGGTACTGTTCACCCGGGCCATTTTGGGCCCGAGCCGACTTTTCCCGGGCCAAACTTAGGTAAGTGACTTCCTAAACCCTACCTAGTACTTTGGGTATTTTTAGACTTGTTTAGGGTGAAATTTAGTACCGGCTTAGGAATTTAATTAGACGTGGGCTAATTAGATTGATTGTGCTTAATTGGTGAATTATTGTGACGATAATTGTGCGGCTAATTTAGTGATTGACTGAGATAAATATGCCTGACTGAATTGTCGTGGCGCTTGTGGGTGAATTGGATTATTTGAATGTGCCGACATGAATGTCGAATCGGTGGATTGATGTGGGGAGTGTGAATTAAATTGGTTGTTATAGTGTGTCAGATTGACATTGGTGTGAGCTTGGTAATTTGATTGTGAAATGTACGACGTGTTAGATGACAGATTGTGTGGTGGTGCATGTGCATGAGAGAAATGTCCTGAGGCGTGGTTACGCGGGACTGAGCCCGAGCTTGATCGAGGGCCGCTAACCCGAGGCGTGGTTACGCGGGTGTGGCTAGAAAGGCAAGTGATGACACGAGGCGTGGTTACGCGGGTCGAGAGAAATGTCCCGAGGCGTGGTTACGCGGGACCGAGCCCGGCTTGATCGAGGCCGCCAACCCGAGGCGTGGTTACGCGGGTGTGGCTAGAAAGGCAAGTGATGACCTGAGGCGTGGTTACGCGGGTCGAGAGAAATGTCCTGAGGCGTGGTTACGCGGGACTGAGCCCGGCTTGATCTGAGGGCCGGCCTGAGGCGTGTTGACGCGGGCCGTGTGAAAGGACCTGAGGAGGTCGTGAGAAAGTTGCTCGGCCACGCATGCGAATTGAGTGTGATTGAATTGGTGGTTGAATTAGTTGGAGTGATTGAGTGAAAGCATGGTTGGTGTTTGAGCGATTTGTGATGTGTTATTTAATTACTATTATTGCCTTATCACGTGACGACTAACGTGTAGAGTTGGCATGGATTTGATGGCCAGGTAAGTACAATGATGCGAAATTTTATATGTTATGGGGTAGATTGCATGTATGACTTGTCTGGGTACGCATTGGCCTACGTGGGGTTTAGGGGGTTGCTTATTGAGACTCGTTCTCACGGTTATTATATAACTATTTCAGATCCGCGACCGTAATCGATTCGGAGACGCCGCCAGAGCACCATAGGGATTGAAGAATAGATCATTTACCCTGTCTTTTGAGTACCTTTTGTAGAGGAGATAAGCTTATCAATCACCGCCCCTTTTTGAAAACTGTGGTTCTAAATTGGTAGCCCGAGTTATCGTTTTGTATAGTGACTACTTTATGATGGTATGCAATTATTGTTTCGTACTATCCCTTTGTCATTGTTTATTGTCTGGGTTAATTAGTTTCGCTTCCGCTTGCCTTTATTGTTGGGTGTTTCGTTTGGGTCGGCGACGCGTCCTGGGACGTCGCGTTCAATGATCGACCATCGAGGGATGACCGCGCGCTCGTAGGGTGCGGGGCGTGACAATTTAGGAATAATATGGCGCAGTATCCTTGCATAACAAGGGATTAAGTGTCTTTTGGGAGGATGGAATGAGGAACTTCAATGAATAATTAGGGCAACAAAGGGTAAAGATTTGGCGGCTAGACTCCTTAAGGTATTCTTTCTAGCAACCATTTACAGCATATTGATGGGGCGCAAAGACGGTTTCAAAATAAGTCAATTGATATCCATATTATCTTGGCCAACGTGCGTAAAAATGTAAGAGGTAGAGCGAACATTAAATCTTCTCAGACAAATATTATATTGGCTACTATATAGAGACTTCCTACTTCCATCTTCTCGAACTATTAGCATCATTTGTAATTCTGGGGATACCCCTAAGCTGCTATACTTCATTCGGTCTATAATACTGATATTTTACACACAAAAAAAAGAATTTAATCATCTCGAAGCCTTATTTGGGTAAACAGTCTTATGCGAAGAAAGCAAGGCTGCCCTATATTTCATCTTTCCATATTTATGCTTCGATTTTCCGAGGTACCACCTTAATGCTTATTTGGGAAGGAGGGAACAGGAGAAAAATGAAGTAAAATTTTGCAAATTTGGTGAGAAGAAGTGGGAGGGAAATTCAAAATTCTTCTCTTTTCCTTTCCTCCATGTATCCAAGCAAAGCAGCTTTTCCTTTATCACGACGGTGCATGCTGGCTAAATAGAGCACAAGCATAGGGTAATTTATGCGTTGTTGCTACCACGGGAGTCATCATCAATTGAAATAAACTAAACATTAATTTTATTCATCAAATGCACGGAACTTCAATTGACTTCCAATTGACGCGCATCGGCCATTATCCACAAGATGCTCCCATGAACAATCGATGTGTCCGCTTATGTGGCAAAACATGCCATGGAGACAAACATGTGAACTTGACCCTTGGAAGGCTGAGGTGTCGGGCGACCTAGCAACTCAGTCATCCAGATACTACCTGTTTCCCTCCTCGTCCAGCTTGTGGTGTTCAATTGTTTCAAGAGGAGGAGGATCTTACGCCACGAAGGAGATTATTATAGACCAACTAATGGACTAGTTTAAGAAGAAAGGGATTTTACCACACATACCTCGTTTCGAGACCGAAAGGAATAGCAAGGGGAGAGGGGTACCAACGGCCATGTGAGCTTCAAGTTTCCAATTAGTACATATTTAAAGTGCTTGGCATTTTGGGCCTGGAATTCTCAGTTTTGACGTGGATTCTCTTTTGTGGGTCTGAGCCGACATCTTTTGTATTCTCTTGAACGTCGGAGAATCATAATCACATTCAGGTCCCCACACTCACATGACTGAATAAGGTGCGCACAACACTTATTGGTGGATGAGGTGATGAGGGTTTCAAGGAAGCTCAATTGAAAACCCGTGGGAAGTTTCTTGCATCTTATGGGAGCAATTCATGGTCACTTCATGACCTTTTCTGGTATGATTTGCCAAGTGATTTTCGTGGACAATGTCATGAAATTGAAACTGAAACTAGCTGAATGGGTAACATTTGAAAAAATGTAGCACCTGAATAGATCTGCCGTCATCCAAAAGAAACCAAACATTCATTTCATCATTTAAATGGGCAACGCAAGAAAATAATTTCGCTGGCTGGGTTTACACACAATGACGTACATGCAATTTAACAACCGATGTTTAGGTAATGACCCATATTCGATTTTTACTTTAGCAAGCATTTCCATTCCTTATAGAAAGTGATATTCTATTTGTTCGTGTAAACATCTATCTGGATATTACGTACAAATCCTCTTATGAAAATCACAAAGGTCCATCCTTATCATCTGATAGGGGACCAGTTGCGAACAAATTCCTAGAATGGATTGACCGACAAATGAATAAAGTTTGGCCCGACATTTATCAAAGTGAATAGATAAAAGGTCGGCCTGCTACAAGCGAGAGCTACAAACAGTCTAGCATAAATTATGTCGAGACGGATTTTTCATAAGAGCAGAATGGGTTTCAATTACAGGTACAAGTGAGAGCAAATGCTCAAAATGCATTTGTCCAAGTCTTTAAGTTAGCTTTGGAACTGTTCATGTTGATCCTCCACAACCTCTACCGAAATTCACTACTAAATTCCAGAGATTCTCTGCTCAGTCACACCAATTTCCCAAACTCCTCGCACAGCTTGTGCTTCACATTTCTTTGCCCTTCCATTTTGGCATGCAGCAATGTAACCGTGGTGTCTTACTCGCTTCACCTTCCCATTACAATTCCCCGACGATTCCATCTATTAATGGAAAAGCAAGTCAAGTCATGCCGGATCTCAAATTTCAATTAAAGCATCTGCGTAGGTTCCACGCACCTTCCTCATAATGCAGACGAAATTACGCGTGCAATAACTCAGCATTCTTCAAGCAGTCAGCAGTATTCAAGCGCGCACGGTAGAAAAAGCAAGGACTAGGAGCATCTTTATTGCAAGTTGTTTTCTTTTCTACTTTTTTGTTAAAAGGAAAAGCAAGTCAAGTCAAGAAGCACTTCCACAGCTTCCCCGCAACTTCCGCATAATGCTGCGAATATTACGCGTGCAATAACTCAGCATTCTTTAAGCAGTCAGTAATCATCATTGTTCAAGCACGCACAGTAGAGAGTGTTGTGTGTTGGTAATCCAACGTCCAAGGCTCAGGATCGGGGGAGATCACAGCAGTGGGTGGGTTGTGTTGTTTGAACACTCCTCAGGTAGTTGACGACTCCTTGCCCTTCTCCGTTTCCTGCTTTGATTGCTCCTTTTTTCTGATGAGTTGTCTGAGAATTTCTATTGTTGTTTGAATGTAGATCCAAGTTTGAGTCCTGCGAGACATTTCTGCTATTCCCAGATCTGAGAATCCATATATCTCCCCTCTGTTTCCTTCTCCATCAATCTCTTTTACAATCCTCTCGAGATGAAAAGAAAAGAACCCACTCATTCAGAATATCCGATCCACAAGCCCTCTTCCTCATCGACTTCTCCACATGTAAGTGATTATGAAGGCGGAACCAAAAGGCCGAAGGGAAATGATTACGAAGTGTTCTTGAACTTCAGAGGGGAAGACACTCGCAAAGGCTTCACCGATTATCTCTATACTAGCCTTGTCGATGCGGGAATTCATGTCTTTAGAGATGACAATGAGCTCCATGTTGGTGAGGAGATTGGTCCAGAGCTTCTTTGCTGTATTACGAAGTCTATAATCTCAATCCCAATTATCTCAGAGAACTACAGTTCAAGCAAATGGTGCCTTCGCGAGTTGGCTCATATGTTGGAGTGCAAGAGAAGCAAAGGGCAAATAGTGTTGCCCATATTTTACAAAGTGGAACCCTCGCAGTTGCGACATCTCACGGGGAGATGGGCAGTTGCAATCAATGCACATAAAGGGAATTTGGGCGAGATGGTTGTGAAGGAATGGGAAGAAGCGCTTGAAGAAATTAGTTCCTTGAAAGGATGGGAATCGGAGAAAATTGATAACGGGTAGATTATTCTCCACTAGAACATTTTTTAATTTCTCATAAGTAGATCATTCTTGAAAATGAATATAAATATTCCCATTTTATAATAAAATTCATTGTCGTTTGACAGGCATGAAGGAAAATTGGTTAAAATTGTTGTCGGAAAAGTTATGAGTGAGTTAAAAAGACTTTTTATGCTACATGTTCCTGAACAATTGGTGGGAATTGATGATCCCGTGGAAGAAATTATGAGCTGGATAGATGATAAATTCAATGGTACAAGGATTATCGGAATCCACGGAATGGGCGGTATTGGTAAGACAACTCTTGCAAAGGTGTTATACAACAAACTCTCTAGTCATTTTGAGTATCTTAGCTTCATGGCGAATATTCGAGAGACATCTCAGCGTAATGGTATTGAATGCATACAAAAGCAGCTCATTTCTGACATAATAAGAAGTTCTTGTGATGTGTCTAACGTTGATGTGGGAATCGGAGTTATCAAATCTCGATTTACAGGTAAGAAAGTCCTTATTCTTCTCGATGATGTTGATGATTGTGCTCACTTGAAAGCTTTGGTCGGAGATGGCAGTTGGTTTGAAACAGGAAGTATAGTCATCATCACATCTAGAAATAAGAGTATTCTTGACAAGGCTAGGGCAACCCACAAGTATGCACTCAAGGAGTTGCCTTCAAGTCAATCATTGATTTTATTCAGTAGACATGCATTTCGAAAGGATTCTCCTCTGAGTGATTACGAAGATATCTCTCGTGATGTCGTACGTACTACCGGGGGGCTTCCTTTAGCTCTTGAAGTTATAGGCTCATTCTTATGTGGAAAGACAAAAGAAGCATGGAAAGATACATTAAAGAAATTGAAGAAAGTACCCCATAAGAAAGTGCAAGAGACATTGAGGATAAGTTACAACGCATTAGATTATGAGGACCAACAGATATTTTTGGATATTGCATGTTTTTTTATTGGATCATTTAAACAATATCCGATTTATATGTGGGAAAGCTGCGATTTTTTCCCGAGGAAAGGGATTGAAGTATTGAGTCTTATGTCCCTAATTAAAGTTGACAAGCACGGCTATCTAAGGATGCATGATCAATTGAGAGATCTTGGAAGGGAAATTGTTCGTCTAGAAAATCCAAAGGAGCCTCAAGAGCGTAGCAGATTATGGATTAATGAGGAAGCTATGGATGTGCTTGAAAGCAACAAGGTAAGAATTTTTTATACTTATTTTAGTTGGTGAATGTGAGTCCATCTTCTCTCTCTTGTTTGAGATAAAAATTATTGTCAATCTTGAGTCCCCAAAACTTGTGGCCTCTATGAGCAAAAGAGCTCTTTCGGTTAATTGTTCTTCTTGCATGATTCTAGGACACAATCTAGGAGCATCTTCTTTGTTATATAAATGTATACGTATATAGCTTTACCTCGTAGTATTGTGATGAGGACACTCTCCTTTGGTAACTTCAACGCAACAACAAAACTATAGAAACATAATGTTTGATAAGGCACTTTCAGGGAAAACCTAGCATCTGTGAATTGTTGGTAGCCATGCTTTTCCCACACGGGTGTCTGATGCACATATTTGATCTTTGGATTCTTCTTTTGATTTCTTGTGAGTCTTCCTTTTGCTATTGAGAATTGCAGGCAAGGTACATCAGGAAAAAAAAAGGGAGATTGTACAATTGGGATTTTTAACTTTGATACATGTTCTCGTGGCAAGTTTGATATATGTATTTGGATTGTAAGTGTCGTGTTGTTTTACATATAAATGATGAGTATGGGTTGTGATGTTTCCCATATAAAGGGCATGAATTTCGATAGATATATTCAAAGTGCGTGTGCAAAAGAGAGGCCATCTATTGTAATTGTGAAAAGATGCAGCTTCGGGAGTTCAAGAAGTGAAAATTGTGAAGGGGCATAATTAGAAGAGGAAAAGTTCAAAAGCACCCTCTTAAGCTTTGGATTTTTACATTAATTAGATAAATAATACGCAATCATAACTTGTCATCTCCCAAAGTAGAAAGTGAGAAGCCTACACAGTAATAGTATGAACAAATTGAAATGAGTTCATATTTTCTTATATACAGTTGGTCTCATCTCATCATTCAAAACTTACGGTCCATACTATTTCCTTATTGCAGGGCACTAGTAAGATTGAGGTCATTCATCTTGACAAGGGAGGAAGATACACAGCGGAACAGTTTAAAGAACTGACCAACTTGAGGTTCCTTAAAATGACCAATGCGAAGTTCACCGCAAATTTCCAGATCGTGCTTCCTCAGTTAAGATGGCTTGAGTGCCATGATTGTTACTTGGACTTAGAAGTGGCCAGCTTTCATATGAAGAAATTAGTCGTGCTCGATATGTCGTGGACTCAAATTTCAGAGAACTGGAGAGGATGGGATCCACTCAAGGTAAGATGTAGAAAAGGCACATCTCCTGCATTATCACGTATTGTACACGGGTGCAATGAGCCCAAGTTCTCCTTCCTTTCTTTCTGAAAGATTTAATATCCTTCCTCAGATTAAGGATTTTCTTAATATAAGAGGAATTTATAGGCACCTAAATATAAGCTTCTGCCCCTTAATATCTTAAATTGATAATATCTTTACAACCTGTCATGCTTAGCATTAGATATACTAGAAAAAAAAATTAACTATATTAATTAACATCTATTAAAATTGTAATTACAACAATGTACCTATCTTGATTTTTTTTAATCTAAACGGTTTAAGGCTTCTAAGTTAATTTCTCCCCATGCAAAGTAGGTCCTTTTAGAGATTCTTGCTATATGTCTATATCGATCTTCTTTCATGGAGAAACAAAAACTCCATGACAGTGACTTCTGTTGCACATACATACTGAAATTATACATTCATTTTTATCATAGAGTTATGGAATAATTTATGAATTGCTCTGACTTGTTGCACAGAAAATTTTGTTCATTATATTTGTTGATTATTGAAGTCACTGTATAACACAATTATAACTTAGTAATGTTGAAAGAGTGATAAAATTATCATTCCAATGGCTTTTCATATTTTTTGATATAACATTTTTTATATTTTGCACATACAAAATGTAATTTTTTTTCATAATTAAACTAGCCGCTTCTCTTTATTTTCATACTATTGAAGGAAAATATGGTGCCCAATGAATTTATGTCTCTTCCATTTGAATTCGTCATCTACTTCTTTGATTATAAATTTTGCTCATGTCTATTCAATAAACGTATATTTTCTTTGAAATGTTATCCAAAAATAAATGCAGTCAGCACTTGTATATCCTTAACATTGTTTTTGCAATGGATACGTATAAAAAATGTTTATATGTTGGTGTAGCCAAACACTACTACAAGAAATATATAAAATTAAATAAGACAATTGTGAAGGAATAATGGAGCATGAGTAATTTGAGGAAATTTTAAAAAGTCTAAAGAAAACGAGGAGTAGTGGAAATTCACACGTTGTAGAGGTCCAATATCACTTAGTTACTTTTTCTTTCTTTCAGATGTCAATTGAGCTCAAAGTTCTCAAGCTCTCATATTGTCAATCTTTGAGAAAAACTCCCGACTTGTCCGATTTCAAAAGCTTGGAAATTTTGATCCTTCAAGGATGTAACAATCTAGAAGAGATTCATCCTTCTATCGAGGATATCAAGACCCTCGTCTCATTGGATGTTAGTTGGTGTGAAAAACTAAAGAAGCTATCGGCACGAGTAGGTAGGATGGAAGAATTGAGGGAGCCCTTCTTAAATGATACTGCTATACAAGACATTCCTATTCCGAGAGATTGTTTGATAAAGTTGGAGAATGCCTGCTGTGAAGATCTTGCTCAACTTCCAGAATCTATGGACTCGATCGGAAAATTGGTATCATTGACTGAATTGAATCTATCTACAACATGGATTGAAGAATTACCCGAATTCATTGGTTCTCTAAAAATGCTCGAGACTCTTGATGCCTCTCGTTGTAAATCGTTAGCCTGCATACCCAGCTCCATAGGTTCCCTTGTGTCTCTACGGTGCTTGTCATTATCGAGTTGCCACTCGTTGAGAGAGATTCCCGACTCAATCGGAAAATTGGCATCATTGACTAAACTGAACCTATCTTTAACAGGAATTAGAGAATTACCTGAATCTATTGGTTCTCTGAGAATGCTCGAGACTCTTGATGCCTCTTGTTGTGAATCGTTAGCCCGCATACCTAGCTCCATAGGCTCCCTTGTGTCTCTGCAGTGCTTGTCATTAAAGGGATGCTGCTCGTTGAGGGAGATTCCCGACTCGATCGGAAAGTTGGCATTATTGACTGAACTGGACTTATCTAGAATAGGGATTGAAGAATTACCTGAATCCATTGGTTCTCTACGAAAGCTAGAGACTCTCAATGCCTCTTTTTGTAAATCGTTAGCCCGCATACCTAGCTCCATAGGTTCCTTCGTGTCTCTATGGTGCTTGTCAGTACCAGGATGCCACTCGTTGAGGGAGATTCCTGACTCGATTGGAAAGTTAGCATCATTGACTGAACTGGACCTATCTGGAACAGGGATTGAAGAATTACCTGAATCCATTGGTTCTCTACGAAAGCTAGAGACTCTTAATGCCTCTTGTTGTAAATCATTAGCCTACATACCCAGCTCTATAGGTTCCCTCGTGTCTTTGCAGCGCTTGTTATTACAGGAATGCCGCTCGTTGAGGAAGATTCCTGACTCGATCGAAAAGTTGGCATCATTGACTGAACTGAACCTATCTGAAACAAGGATTGAAGAACTACCTGAATCCATTAGTTCTCTGAGAATGCTCGAGACTCTTGATGCCTCTTGTTGTGAATCCTTAGCCTACATACCCAGCTCTATAGGCTCCCTTGTGTCTCTGCGGTACTTGGCATTAGAGGGATGCTACTCGTTGAGGGAGATTCCCAACTCGATCGGAAAGTTGGCATCATTGACTGAACTGAACCTATCTGAAACAAGGATTGAAGAATTACCTGAATCCATTAGTTCTCTGAGAATGCTCGAGACTCTTGATGCCTCTTGTTGTAAATCGTTAACCTACATACTCAGCTCTATAGGCTCCCTCGTGTCTTTGCAGCGCTTGTTATTACAGGAATGCCGCTCGTTGAGGAAGATTCCTGACTCGATCGAAAAGTTGGCATCATTGACTGAACTGAACCTATCTGAAACAAGGATTGAAGAATTACCTGAATCCATTAGTTCTCTGAGAATGCTCGAGACTCTTGATGCCTCTTCTTGTGAATCGTTAACCCGCATACCCAGCTCCATAGGCTCCCTCGTGTCTCTGCAGTACTTGGCATTATGGGGATGCTACTCGTTGAGGGAGATTCCCGACTCGATCGGAAAGTTGACATCATTGACTGAACTGGACCTATCTGAAACAGGGATTGAAGAATTACCTGAATCCATTGGTTCTCTGAGAATGCTCGAGACTCTTGATGTCTCTTCTTGTGAATCGTTAGCCCGCATACCCAGCTCCATAGGCTCCCTCGTGTCTCTGCAAAGCTTGTTATTACGAGGATGCCCCTTGTTGAGGGAGATTCCCGACTCGATTGGAAAGTTGGCATCATTGATTGAACTGGACCTATCTAAAATAGGGATTAAAGAATTACCTGAATCCATTGGTTCTCTGAGAATGCTCAGGACTCTTGTTGTCTCTTCATGTGCATCGTTAGCCGGCATACCCAGTTCCATAGGCTCCCTTGTGTCTCTGCAGCACCTGTCATTATGGGAATGTCCCTCGTTGAGGGAGATTCCCGATTCGATCAAAAAATTGGAGGACGCAGGATGCCGGATATGGCTCGATCGCTGGATCTTTCAGGATCAAAACATCTGAAGGCTATTGTGTGTTGAAAAGGGTGCCGTCTGGGGAAATGACTCGTCGTTTGTCATCCACTATGATCCTTCATCCTCGACACTGTACGAGGACCAGACTATTAAACCAGTTTATCTTTCCGCAAGTTCCGCATTTGAAGGATGCTCTGCTCGCTCGCGAGCCATCTCATAACGTGTTTGTTTTGTTCACACGGCTGAGTTGAACTTTTGATCTATCTTCTGTTCGCTTCTTCTAATGCCGGGCATCCTGGTCCATATCTACGCTGTGGAAATCGCAAGACGTTTGAGAGAACAAGCAGCTCTTCAAGAAACATCCCTTCGCCTTCGACCCGTAGCCATCTCGGTTTTCTTAAAGGTGGGACGATCGAAATCCTGCACTCTGGGAATGGCGCGAATTCGCTCGCTTTTTCTCGATTGCTTGAATTGGTTTCTTTCGATTTTCTTCCTTCTTTTTTTTCAATTGTTCGGTGATATCTCATCGACCGCAATTCTCTCTTTTGTGGATGATTCAGGGAAACTTCTGGAGGCGGGAGCACAAGAACACGTCAGGCAAACGAGGGAGAGAGAGAGAGAGAGAGAGAGAGAGAGGTCATGCTGCCGGATTTATGGATGGCGCTCACGATCCCTCCGGGGATTCGTCGGGTTCTGTCGAGGCTTAACGAGATTCGCGCCGTTTTATCCTGTCACCGCGCGGTCTTTTTTACTCTTCCTGCTCGTTATTAGTCATCACCAGCAGTTACTAACGCCCGAGAGAGACTGAAGCATCGTCACTTCCGGGCGGCGGCGGAGATGCGGCGGCGGCGGCGGCGGCGGCGGCGGGGGATCCGCTGAGCTGGGGAGGTGAGGTCGGGCCAGCGGGGGAGTTTCACTTGAAGGTGTTTCGGATCTCCTCCGATTTGCTCTTCCGTCGGTGCGCGTTCGGAGAGGAGAGAGGACAGGAGCGGAGAGTACCTCGCGAGCGAGGGGTTCGGCCAGTGCTCTTCCTCTCCCCTTCTTTTCCTTCCCCTTAGGGGCTCTCCACAGCGATTGCGCTCGCAGACCTTTTTGCCGATTTCCTCGAGCCCGCCCTTCTGATTTCTGCGTGCGGATCGAGATGGGTTGGTTCTTCTGATTGGATCGTCCTTTAGCAATTGTCGTGCTGATTCGCCTGGTTAGTTCTTCTTCTTCTTCCTCTTCTTCTTCCTTGAATGATGGAAGGTTGGGGTTGATATTCCCCGTGGAAGTTTAATAGGGGCGCCTGTGTTAATGTATGTATACAAAGTAAAATATGTCAAAAAGCAAATAGATTAGCCTGATGATATCCTTTCTGGCAGGGTACTTGAATCTACACTTACTTATGAAGTGAAAATTGATTGATGTCGGTGAGTCTTCATCGCCTCAGTAGCAACAAATTGAGTTTCCGCCATAACCCGCTTAGCTGGTAGAAAATTTTGGAGTGAAGGGCAAAGGCGGAGAAAATCGCCTTTTATCCTCGAACAAGTACGGGTTTTTTGTATTGCCTTTAGCCGTTTATGCACTATTACTATGATTGGTTTTCTGATTGCTGGATTAATGGATTTCGCAGGTTC